GGTTATTCATGCCCATGCCATCTCTTGGGTGGCTTAATCTTCATCAATTACTATCCACTTATACTTCCTTGAGACACGAGACAAGGTGAGCACTGAATCCACTTCTCTGCCTCCATAGATGATGAAGAAAACTTTACCGAAATGCGTTCTTCAGCGTAACGTGTCCAATAAAGTTCTCAAATGAGCTTTGAAGCGTTCACTTCTTTCCCAAGTGAAGAACATAAGAAGCAAGATTTGTACTAGCATAACTGATCTAACCATTTCTGTCAAGGCGCGTCTGGGAGCCTCTCGGACGTAGGTTAGAACCTTCGTCACGGCCCTTGTGGATTTGTTCATTTGATGCATCACGGCATTGTGATTTCTGTGTGTAATATCTATCATGTTTGTCTACAAGAACGACTGCTTCTCCAGAAGAACAGCTAGCAGGAGAGGGAGCGGACACTATTGATACGATACAAAAATACTGGAGCCTCTATATTAACATATATGGCGTTCATATATGGCGGAGAGATCATATATGATCTCACTGAGTAAAGCAAATCTCCACACTGCACAGTCTGGGCCACTATATCTGCTCACTCCACTGTCTGCGTCACTATATATGCACACACAGCACAGTCTATATCACTATATCTGCACACATCACAATCTGAGTGACTATATCTGCTCACATTTAACATAAGATAAGCAAGCTAGAGTGAGGTATAACTATGAGTGAGGAAGAACAGCAGAAGACGAGACGAAGAACAAGGTGAGGATGATTGGGCAGTTAACATACATGTCTAAATCAATCAAAGATCGCTTCGAAACCATCGATATAGTTGATGGTCTTGTCGGTACGCTGAAAAGGTTTTAACACACTATCAAAATAGATTCGTGATGAGTTGTAAACATAAAACAATTCTGGACCTCGAGAGCAACAATTACTAATAAATAATCAGTAATTTTTGTATTGAATCGAGGTAAAATACGGAGAAGTGAATGATATCATCAAGAGGAGCCTCGCCACAGCCCGCTGCCCGGCACAAAGAGAACCACACTTATTCAGACCTAACGAACCTCTGAACGGTATATTATATATATATATATATATATATATATATATATATATATATATATATATATATATATATATATATATATATATATATATATATATATATATATATATATATATATATATGACCGAAAAAGTAAGATTAATAATTCTAACACGAATTTTCTCAATCTTTCTCTGGCGATGGTTTGGTTTAGGCACATTTAGGAATGTGCCTAAATGCCAACAGCGACTGCCCAGACAGGTACAAGAGGAGTGTTGTTAACGCATATGTCGACCGTGCTCTCAGCCACAGCTCAGAATGGAAGCAAGTCGACGAAGAACTCTGTAGGGTAAGGCAGGTCCTAGTCAACAACGGCTTCTCCAATGGTTTCGTCGAAGACATCATAAGAAGGAAAGTGAAACGCCATGCAACCTCTGAAGAGACTACTAACACAACACCTATACCCCCTATTAGACTATTTTACAGGAACTTCTTTTCCACAGCTCATAAAACGGAGGAAAGGGTCCTGAAAGATATTGTTAATAGAAATGTTATCCCTACAGACAAAAATCAGAGGATACAACTGACGATTTACTATAAAACCAGAAAAACGGCCAGCCTACTCATGAGAAACTCTCCAGACACAAAACAGAACGCTTTAAAAGAGACTAACGTCGTCTATGCCTTCAAATGCCCTCTTGGGGACTGTAAGCTCCAAAAAACCCAGTATATAGGCAAGACAACAACATCTCTTGGCGTTTAACGATGCACAAGCAACAGGGCTCCATTAAGGAACATATAATCTCTTCCCACAACCAAACCATCGCCAGAGAAATCCTAGTAAACAACACAGAAATCATCGATAGATACAGCGATAGCAGGCGGCTTGACGTTTGCGAGGCACTACACATCAAGAAGTCAACACCAGCAATCAACAGCCAATTAATGCACAACTATATTCTACCCACCTCAAGACTCCGCTCCAATATAGAAGCATCAAGAAATATGGACCAATAGGCTTTCTACATACACTTCTATTCAATACCCATTGTTTCGTGTTCTGTCTTGTGTTGATGAAATTAATACCCTATTAATGCCACCTCTTGTTCTGTCTTGTGTTGATGAAATTAATACCCTATTAATGCCACCTCACCCATCCACCTCACTAAAATGTAGATATAAAATCGGAGATGCGTAAGTTCTATTCAGTTGTGTATTTGTAAACTAAAGTCTTTGAAAATGTAATAAGTTTTACGAAACGCGCTCGTGTCGTGTCAGACTAGAAATAAAAATGAATTTTGGAGAATTGATTTTTGATTTACCTCCAACAGTGAAGCGAAATGTACGAAAGATTGAGAAAATTCGTGTTAGAATTATTAATCTTACTTTTTCGGTCATATTTAATAATATATGTCTACAGGAAAGACTGCTACCAAAATATACTAATATATATATATATATATATATATATATATATATATATATATATATTATATATATATATATATATATATATATATATATATATAAATAACTGAAAACTCACACCCCCAGAAGTGACTCGAACCCATACTCCCAGAAGCAACGCAACTGGTATGTACAAGACGCCTTAATCCACTTGACCATCACGACCGGACATAATGAGGTGATAGCCGAGGCTATTTGAACCACCCCACCGCCGGCACTCGGATAGTAATCTTGGGCATAGCATTTTACCAAATCACCTCATTCTTTGGGGCACACGTGAGGAACACAAATGCTAACAAGCCTGAATGGTCCCCAGGACAATATGCAACTGAAAACTCACACCCCAGAAGTGACTCGAACCCATACTCCCAGAAGCAACGCAACTGGTATGTACAAGACGCCTTAATCCACTTGACCATCACGACCGGACATAATGAGGTGATAGCCGGTGGGGTGGTTCAAATAGCCTCGGCTATCACCTCATTATGTCCGGTCGTGATGGTCAAGTGGATTAAGGCGTCTTGTACATACCAGTTGCGTTGCTTCTGGGAGTATGGGTTCGAGTCACTTCTGGGGTGTGAGTTTTCAGTTGCATATTGTCCTGGGGACCATTCAGGCTTGTTCGCATTTGTGTTCCTCACGTGTGCTCCAAAGAATGAGGTGATTTGGTAAAATGCTATGCCCAAGATTACTATCCGAGTGCCGGCGGTGGGGTGGTTCAAATAGCCTCGGCTATCACCTCATTATGTCCGGTCGTGATGGTCAAGTGGATTAAGGCGTCTTGTACATACCAGTTGCGTTGCTTCTGGGAGTATGGGTTCGAGTCACTTCTGGGGTGTGAGTTTTCAGTTGAATATTGTCCTGGGGACCATTCAGGCTTGTTCGCATATATATATATATATATATATAATATATATATATATATATATATATATATATATATATATATATATATATATATATATATATATATATATATATACACTGGTGTTACACTAATATTCTGTATTGCATACAAGATCCAGAATTGCTCACAGCTTCAAGAAGAGGACACAATAACCCTTTATTTTCCATATTGTTATACACAGTTTTTAGTACATGGTAACAGCTTAACAGCTCATGGTAACAGCTTAACACAGGTGTAATAATCTCTACATGACACATGTGCTTGTAGCCATATAGACCTGTCACACAGAGCTTTCCTCAATCATTATTCCTGACTAATTACATGCCGCCTCTTATAATGAATAAACCATCTTTCAAAATGTATAAATGTATATTCGTTTCATTTATTTTGTTAAAGATGAACTGACACAACATACTAGAAGAGTCGAATATGTACACGGATATCTATTAGTAGATAATTACAACAGTGAAAATTAACAGAAATCTAAAAAAAAAAAATCTAAAAAATCTAAAAAAAATAAATCTAAAAAAAAAAATATTGGTAGAAATTGTAAAGATAACAAGTGAATAACTCAGTTGGATGAAGAAGCGTTGTCACTGCTGGTGAAAAGCACCGCCCCATATATCTTGAGCTACCTTGAGATAATATCGGGGCTTAGCGTCCCCGCGGCCCGGTCGTCGACCAGGCCTCCTAATAACCAGGCCCTTCTAAATGTAGATGGAGGAAGCATCGTCGCTACTACGGAAGAACTCTGTTCTATCACTATTAACCTTCAGTATTTTGATTACCAACCTTGACCCCAGAGAGCAGCAAGTAGCTATGATCCATCTCTGAAGTCAAGCTGATGATGTGGCAAGAGAAAATAACACTAATCTGGGTAGCCACTATGGCACTCTTGAAAAAGTGCCATAGTGACATTGTGAAACATCAATGTCAACCCAGATGTTGCAGTTTACAATCATCCCGCCAACATCTTGACTCTCGCTGTAACTTAGAATTCAAAATCAAATGTAGCTAAATGTTTTGAAAACTGGCTATTTTGATTGTTTTAGATTATACAGATATATAAAATTACCCCATAAACAGTACAAACCATTCACGACATTGAAACACACACACACACACACCCACATATATATATATATATATATATATATATATATATATATATATATATATATATATATATATATATATATACATATATATATATATATATATATATATTATATATATATATATATATATATATATATATATATATATATATATAAATATGAAGTATAATCATTTACTGCAACAAATAATTTTGAATCTTCATTGATAAAAAGCAGTGATATAGATAATATTTATGCAAGTCCAAGATTATATATTTTTTGATAACTTTATAATTGGTGAAATTTGTGATAGGTATAAAATTATGTAAACAATAATTATATGTATCCCCTCATTCCAAGAATGAGGGAATATCCAGTTAATCATCTTCATGCCACTTCCATTAATCAATATTATATATATATATATATATATATATATATATATATATATATATATATATATATATATATATATATATATATATATATATATATATATATAATTGAATCATACACACTCACATACGAGTATTTGCATATATAATACACACGTATGTACACATGGAGCAGAGGTCTATACATTCTACACTAACAGATGATCTACAAAATACAAAACCTACATAAAGATGGCGTCCATAACCTCAGGTGTGTGAGAGAGACTGAGGTAGCTACACCCAAGACTGACTGCCTCTTAGGGCCTACACACCTGCCTCGCCCTACACACCTGTTAATTGAGCGATAATTCTAGATATACCTGCTTGTAAACAGTCGTAAACACCACACATTCTCCGTGTTTTAGCGTCTAAAGAATCCCCCACATCCCCACCAAGACGGAGCAGGAGAGAGGTCAAGACAATGACCCAAGAAGCTTCAACACATCCTGGCTTCTTTGGCTTCAACAAGTGAGGTCCTGGCTTCCTTGGCTCTTCCTGAGGTTTAGAAGTCTAAGATGTCCTGCTGGAACTGCAAGCGGGCCACCTCGCTGAAGATCATGTCTATAGGGGCTGTGGAATCGTACAGGAACGGCGACTCGAAGAGGATAACGATGGTTCCGAGCACTGACGTGACGCCGAAGACCCAGAGGAGTAGTCGGTCGAGTACCATGGCCACAAACGCCCAGTCGTCGTCCTCCTGTTTTGGCGGGAAGAAGGGAGACTTAGTTATATTTGAGTGTTTTGTATGGGGGAGGAGAGAGAGAGGGAGAAGAAGAGAGGGAGAGAGAGAGAGAGAGAGAAAGAGAGAGAGAGAGAGAGAGAGAGAGAGAGAGAGAGAGAGAGAGAGAGAGAGAGAGAGAGAGAGAGAGAGAGAGAGAGAGAGAGAGAGAGAGAGAGAGAGAGAGAGAGAGAGAGAGAGAGAGAGAGAGAGAGAGAGAGAGAGAGAGAGAGAGAGAGAGAGAGAGAGAGAGAGAGAGAGAGAGAGAGAGAGAGAGAGAGAGAGAGAGAGAGAGAGAGAGAGAGAGAGAGAGAGGAAAAAGGATAAAACAACTTGTTCAGATACATTGCCAAATACATATTTCCATGAACACATATGTAATGTGTAAGTGTGGGAGTCCAGTGGCACGTACGTGTGGCACTTCTTCCTTGCCAGAGAGAGAGATACATCAGTGCCAGCCGCACCAACGATGAAAAAAATCAGAAATTAATTACTTTAAATCCTGATGAGTTAATTACGCTCTCACATCCTGAAAAGGTGATTTGGCAGAGAAGAGAAAAAATACTCTTTTGTGCAGATAGTTGATAATGCTCCCCTGTTTGAGACGTATTTGAAATAACTGCACATTATTAAAAAAATGTTTTATAGTTTGACATTATAGTTAACTCATGCATACTCCATGGACCACATGAACTATGGGGGGCATGTGAAGTCCCCATAATTGTGTGATGTTTGCCTGTTAAGCGTCCCATTCTTGGGGTAGTTATCATGACTCGTCTTTAGAGATACTTCTCACTGCTCGGTCATGGTTTCTCTTGGTTTAAAAAATGTAATCTCTCTTTTCCCTCTTTTTTTTATTTAAATTTATCTTTCTTGGCATTAATATCTTTTTACATAATTTGTATATACTTGGTCTTTTCTTCTATCGAAAATGTTTCATATTCATGTTAAATATGTACCTCAAAATTACATGTAATTATCACTCCACCCCCACTGCCCTCCCCCTCACTATCACTCCACCCCCACTGCCCTCCCTCTCACTATCACTCCACCCCCACTGCCCTCCCCTCTCACTATCACTCCACCCCCACTGCCCTTCCCCCTCACTATCACTCCACCCCCACTGCCCTCCCCCTCACTATCACTCCACCCCCACTGCCCTCCCCCTCACTATCACTCCACCCCCACTGCCCTCCCCCTCACTATAACTCCACCCCACTGCCCTCCCCCTATCACTCCACCCCCACTGCCCTCCCCCTCACTATCACTCCACCCCCACTGCCCTCCCCTCTCACTATCACTCCACCGCCACTGCCCTCCCCTCTCACTATCACTCCACCCCCACTGCCCTCCCCCTCACTATCACTCCACCCCCACTGCCCTCCCCCTCACTATCACTCCACCCCCACTGCCCTCCCTCTCACTATCACTCCACCCCCACTGCCCTCCCCTCTCACTATCACTCCACCCCCACTGCCCTTCCCCCTCACTATCACTCCACCCCCACTGCCCTCCCCCTCACTATCACTCCACCCCCACTGCCCTCCCCCTCACTATCACTCCACCCCCACTGCCCTCCCCCTCACTATAACTCCACCCCACTGCCCTCCCTCCCCTATCACTCCACCCCCACTGCCCTCGCCCTCACTATCACTCCACCCCCACTGCCCTCCCCTCTCACTATCACTCCACCGCCACTGCCCTCCCCTCTCACTATCACTCCACCCCCACTGCCCTCCCCCTCACTATCACTCCACCCCCACTGCCCTCCCCCTCACTATCACTCCACCCCCACTGCCCTCCCCCCTCACTATCACTCCACCCCCCACTGCCTTCCCCCTCACTATCACTCCACCCCCTACTGCCCTCCCCCTCACTATCACTCCACCCCCACTGCCCTCCCCCTCACTATCACTCCACCCCCACTGCCCTCCCCCTCACTATCACTCCACCCCCACTGCCCTCCCCCCTCACTATAACTCCACCCCACTGCCCTCCCCCTATCACTCCACCCCAACTGCCCTCCCCCTCACTATCACTCCACCCCCACTGCCCTCCCCCTCACTATCACTCCACCCCCACTGCCCTCCCCCTCACTATCACTCCACCCCCTGCCCTCCCCCTCACTATCACTCCACCCCCACTGCCCTCCCCCTCACTATCACTCCACCCCCACTCCCCTCCCCCCCTCACTATCACTCCACCCCCACTGCCCTCCCCCTCACTATCACTCCACCCCCACTGCCCTCCCCCTCACTATCACTCCACCCCCACTGCCTTCCCCCCTCACTATCACTCCACCCCCACTGCCCTGCCCCTCACTATCACCCCACCCCCACTGCCCTTCCCCTCACTATCACTCCACCCCCACTGCCTTCCCTCCTTACTATCACTCCACCCCCACTGCCTTCCCTCCTCACTATCACTCCACCCCCACTGCCCTCCCCCTCACTATCACTCCACCCCCACTGCCCTCCCCCTCACTATCACTCCACCCCCACTGCCTTCCCCTCTCACTATCACTCCACCCTCACTGCCCTCCCCCTCACTATCACTCCACCCCCATTGCCTTCCCTTCTCACTATCACTCCACCCCCACTGCCCTTCCCCTTATCACTCCACCCCCACTGCCTTCCCCCTCACTATCACTCCACCCCCACTGCCCTCCCCGTCACTATTACTCCACCCCCCCACTGCCCTCCTCCTCACTATCACTCCACCCCCACTGCCTTCCCCCCTCCTATCACTCCCACCCCCACTGCCCTCCCCCTCACTATCACTCCACCCCCACTGCCCTCCCCCTCACTATCACCCCACCCCCACTGCCCTCCCCTCACTATCACTCCACCCCCATTACCCTCCCCCTCACTATCACTCCACGCTCACTGCTCTCCCCCTCACCATCACTCCACCCCCCCACTGCCCTCCCCCTCACTATCACTCCACTCCCACTGTCCTTCCCCTCACTATCACTCCACCCCCTACTGCCCCTCCCCCTCACTATCACTCCACCCTCTACTGCCCTCCCCCTCACTATCACTCCACCCCCTACTGCCCTCCCCCTCACTATCACTCCACCCCCTACTGCCCTCCCCTTCACTATCACTCCACCCCCTACTGCCCTCCCCCTCACTATCACTCCACCCCCACTGCCCTTCCCCTCACTATCACTCCAACCCCCTACTGTCCTCCCCCTCACTATCACTCCACCCCCTACTGCCCTCCCCCTCACTATCACTCCACCCCCTACTGCCCTCCCCCTCACTATCACTCCACCCCCACTGCCCTTCCCCTCACTATCACTCCACCCCCTACTGCCCTCCCCCTCACTATCACTCCACCCCCACTGCCCTCCCCCTCACTATCACTCCACCCCCACTGCCCTCCCCCTCACTATCACTCCACCCCCTACTGCCCTCCCCCTCACTATCTCTCCACCCCCACTGCCCTCCCCCTCACTATCACTCCACCCCCACTGCCCTCCCCCTCACTATCACTCCACCCCACTGCCCTCCCCCTCACTATCACTCCACCCCCCCCCCCCCCCCTGCACCAACTCCACCCACCTCATCGAACTTATCCTGCTGCATTTGGTGGTAGTGGATGAACTTGACGTTGTGGATGGCTCGCTTTATCTCGAGGGGGTAGTGGGCTTGGGCTTCAGGAGAGATGTGGAAGCACTCCGGAAGGTCCCCGTACGGCGCCTCGAAGATCCCACCGCCCCCAGACATGCCTGGAGCCCCTGGCAATCCGTCTTCGTCGACGTCTCTGCTGGCGCCCACAGACCCCAGTCCGCAGAGTCCTCCAGTCCTCAGACCTCCAGGGCAGCCCCCGCCGCCAGGGGGACGGAGTCCGTTGAATGATGAACCTGACGGGACGAACAGATGAGTGTTGGACCTGGTCATAAAGTGCCATGCCATATGAGCCATCACTCATTGCTAATTACTCATCACTCTTACGCTCATCACACCTATGAGACAATCATAATATTTGCTCCGCCAATGACATTACTAGATGAGAAAGTCGCATTACTCGTCTTAAGAATCTACTAACGTCATCTAGTGACATTAATAGATTCTTAACTATCCTCATTTAAAACTACATTAATTACCAATCTTCGAACATCTTTGAAATCCAACAGTTAATTGCGCCTGTTTGTATTGTGCGACCCATCAATACCCCCTGGAACACTTCAACACCAAAGGATTCCGATGTGCAATTAACCCATGTTGATGCAACACTGCAACCCATTAACACGGACTATGTAGGCCACAAACCTCACAAAAACCAACAACAACAACACCCACCTACAACACCCTGCCTACAACATCCACCTACAACACCCTGCCTACAACACCCTGCCTACAACACCCACCAACAACACCCTGCCTACAACACCCTGCCTACAACACCCCACCTTCAACACCCTGCCTACAACACCCACCTGGAAACTGTTGCTGCCGCTCCCTGAAGCGCTCTCTGAGGTTGGCCCCGTTGCCGTTCTCCCGAGGGCGTCCCCCAGGAAGGTCCTCTGCTTCCGCCTTCGTCTCGTCCTTCTTCGGGACCCGCATCAGCAGCAGCGGCGGGAGGGTGTCGATGAACAGCTGCAACCACACAAGCACATGCCCATGTTATGTGACCAGTGCCTTTGACATGGGGACAACTGCAACACATGCCCATGTTATGTGACCAGTGCCTCTGACATGGGGACAACTGCAACACATGCCCATGTTACGTGACCAGTGCCTCTAACATGGGGACAACTGCAACACATGCCCATGTTACGTGACCAGTGCCTCTGACATGGGGACAACTGCAACACATGCCCATGTTATGTGACCAGTGCCTCTAACATGGGGACAACTGCAACACATGCCCATGTTACGTGACCAGTGCCTCTGACATGGGGACAACTGCAACACATGCCCATGTTACGTGACCAGTGCCTCTAACATGGGGACAACTGCAACACATGCCCATGTTACGTGACCAGTGCCTCTGACATGGGGACAACTGCAACACATGCCCATGTTATGTGGCCAGTGCCTCTGACATGGGGACAACTGCAACACATGCCCATGTTACGTGACCAGTGCCTCTAACATGGAGACAACTGCAACACATACACATGTTATGTGACCAGTGCCTCTGACATGGGGACAACTGCAACACATACCCATGTTACGTGACCAGTGCCTCTGACATGGGGACAACTGCAACACATACCCATGTTACGTGACCAGTGCCTCTGACATGGGGACAACTGCAACACATACCCATGTTACGTGACCAGTGCCTCTGACATGGGGACAATTGCTTGAATCGATAATCGCAAAATTCGTTCGTCCAACATCTTGAAAACATATTAATAAATGGCCCGCTACATAGCCGTATAAAGGGCCCTCTTATGTGTGATAAATTTGCTTTCACACTCTTTTTCCATCATATTTGAGGCATTTGATGGTTGAAAGGCTTGGGAAGTTGCATAGCTTGACTTTAGCCCGGCTTTTGATACTGTGCCGAACGAATAAATGCTGATAAATGCATCCACATTGATGCTCCGGATAAAAAATAAAATTCTCTTTTATCCAAACTGAATAATACAAAAAGTCAATGACTGACGTCTTCAAATAAAAGAACGCGTTAAGGAAGCAGGATATAAACGGTGTGTTCAAGAACATAGAACACAGAACACGAAACGCTAGTTTAAAAACTTAATTGCAGATCTGCGGATCTTATTACCAAGAAACATTTGAACCAACATCACTGAAAAAGCTTCAAGCATCACATGGACATCTAAACATATTACAGAACTTAAGGGAACCGAGGCTTAGGGAACAGCATTAGTGCCCAGTCGACCAAACCACACACTAGAAAGTGAAGGGACGACGACGTTTCAGTCCGTCCTGGACCATTCTCAAGTCGATTGTAAAACTTAATTGCAGATTATCGACAATCGACTTGAGAATGGTCCAGGACGGACCGAAACGTCGTCGTCCCTTCACTTTCTAGTGTGTAGTTTTGTCAACCTATTTCAGACACATTATGGTGACTCCTCGTCTGCTTAGTGGTTCAGAACTGACCTTTCTGACCCAGGGGGCGAGGCGATGAGTAGAGGGCTTGCGATAGTGGATATTGAGGACGATGATGGTGACGATGACACTCAGGCCCACCAACAGCATAGTGAAGAGCAGGTACTTGCCCAGGAGCGGCATGGCCAGGGAGGTGGAGGGCATGATCTCCGAGATGAGCAGGAAGAACATAGTCTGGGACAGCAGGATGCTGATGCAGAGCGCCACCTTTTCACCGGAATAAGCAGGAAGGTAGAAGACCAGCACCGAGAGGTACTCTAGACTCACACAGGGGATGATGAGGTTCACGGTATAGAAGAGAGTCTTCCGCCGGAGCGTGATGTTGAAGTAGATATCTACGTGAAGGAAGGAGAGAGAGAGAGACACTTATAAGTACTTAGATGACTAGATCTAAGTGTAAGCACGTCTGGGTGATATAGGGGAATGTCTCATTGCAAGATTTACTCAGGTCTTTCCAAACTCTAAACTTACCCAATATATATTGTTACTTACCAAATTTTTCGTTTTCAACTTTGTGTTGATGTGTTTAACACCTTAGTAATACCCCCCCCCCCCCGCTGGTTATGCCCATTCATCCACTTGAAAACTTTAGTGATGTCACCCCTCCCCCAGGTGACATCACATGACTTGATAATGGTCCAGGATGGTTCGAAACGTCGTCGTTACTTCATTTTCTGACGTGAGGTGAGGTCATCATGTCACCCCTCACTCTTCACCTTTTTTAGACAATGCAAATCTTAGTATATACGCGGGTGCTTACACATGACAATGGTGAAAATAACAGTCTGCCATTCTTGGATGAACTAATAACAAAAACAGGAACCTCTTTAAGCACCAGTGCATACACTAAGCCTACCAACATAGGATTATGCCTGAACGGTAGAAGTGAGTGCCCCCAAAGATACAAAGCCAGTGTTCTTAATGCTTAGATTCGTCGAGCGCTTACCCACTGCTCCGAATGGAGCAACATGAGTAGAGAATTTGAAAGAATAACTCAGGTATTGGTGAACAATGGATATAGCAACACGGAAATAAACGCTGCTATAAGAAGACACCTGGACCGATGGTACAATCCTGAACATAGAACAGAAACCACAATACCTCCATTACACACAGAAATTACAACTGCGTGATGCATCAAATGAACAAATCCACGGCCCTTGTGGATTTGTTCACAATGCCTCCAATAAAATTATATTACAAATCAACCATGCACATTGAACATAAAAAAAAGGAAAGAATAATGAAAGAAATAATCCGTAAAGGAGTAAAAAGCACTACTCCTAACCAAAACATAAACCTGATAATATTCTACAAAACCAAGAAGACTTCCGAACTCCTTATCAAAAACAGCCCGAAGCCGACGGAGAACCCTCTACAGCAGTCAAGCGTTGTATACATGTACACTTGCCCCCACGAAGGATGTAACCTTCAATCTAAGTGTATAGGTATGACGTCGACCAAGCTGACGAGGCGTTTGACCTGTCATCTTCAATCCGGTGCCCCCAGGAATCACATGAGACAAGCCCATGACATCACCCTAACAAGAGAAATGTTGAATAAAAATACTTATATAATAGACAAAACCCAAGATGTAAGAAGATTACAAATTCTTGAAGCAATCCACATACAAATAGAACAACCTACCATAAATACTCATATTACGGAACTATTCACTCTACCCACCACGAGAGTAAGAATAAGACCAGAACGTGAAGATGCCAACATAGAAGACACTGCTCAACACACAGCGCCCACTACGCTTGATTAATCTTTGTGTGTACCTTATTTAACCTTCTGATCCTTAGCTTCTTTTATCCTTTATGCCTTACTCTTTACCCTTATGTATACCCATTGTTTACACCTGACCCCATCGTTCGATCCATATGTATTCACCTGACCCCATCGTTCGATCCATATGCATTCACCTGACCCCATTCTTCATCCATATGTATTCACCTGACCCCATCGTTCGATCCGTATGTATTCACCTGACCCCATTGTTCGATCCATTTGTATTTACCTGACCCCTCTATTAGTATAAAATATAATGTCCTGTACTGTAACATCACTTGAGAATGAACCATGTACGTTCGAAACGTCGTGCGATTTTATGATAAGTGTAATACATTCTTCAGTTATTCAGTTCTTTTTCTTTACTTTGAAAACGAACATGACCTTTTGGTGAACTCCTCTTCCAGCTGAACCCTGATGCAAGAGCATTAGTAAGAGGGATATAAGCCCTAAATCAGAGAATAGTTAATACGGAATATGCTGTCATATTCAATGAGACATGCATATATTATATATAAATATATATAGATACGACTTTAAATTGTCATATAAATGACTTCACGAGTTTAGAATCTTTCTTTGTTCCATATTTATATATATCTATACTACATTATTTAAATATACCTATAAAACTAAATTTTTTAAAATATCGAAAGCATAATTTTTATAATGATATAAAACAGGATTACGGCTTATTATCTGCATCAAAAGAAAGATAAAAAGAGACAATCAGGAGGATTAATCTATAATATAAAAATTGAGATTAATTTTAGTAGAACCTCATGGATTAAGTGATGAAATCACTAAAACCGTAATTTTACGACTGAAAGATGGTTTTCAGATGTACCAAATCAGGGAATATAGTATGTTTCAAATATATCAACACAAAGAGAACACGAAACAATTGCTATCAAATCGATACGTATAAATTTTGAAAGACCTGGGTAAATACTGGTTAGGGAACAGGATTGTTGATTTATAGGACACATTATAGGGTAAAATAATAGACGGAGAATCTCTGGATTGGTTCAAGTATAGGTAAGTTTATATATATATATATATATATATATATATATATATATATATATATATATATATATATATATATATATATATATATATATATATGTCGTACCTAGTAGCCAGAACGCACTTCTCTGCCTACTATGCAAGGCCCGATTTGCCTAATAAGCCAAGTTTTCATGAATTAATTGTTTTTCGACTACCTAACCTACCTAACCTAACCTAACCTAACTTTTTCAGCTACCTAACCTAACCTAACCTATAAAGATAGGTTAGGTTAGGTTAGGTAGGGTTGGTTAGGTTCGGTCATATATCTACGTTAATTTTAACTCCAATAAAAAAAATTGACCTCATACATAATGAAATGGGTAGCTTTATCATTTCATAAGAAAAAATTTAAGAAAATATATTAAGTCAGGAAAACGTGGCTTATTAGGCAAATCGGGCCTTGCATAGTAGGCTGAGAAGTGCGTTCTGGCTACTAGGTACGACATATATATATATATATATATATATATATATATATATATATATATATATATATATATATATATATACACACACACACACACACGCACACACGAGTCTGGGTGGATATTAATGATGGTAAGGCCTGTTGTTCTTCAGCCATTTCATTTATTTTCATGTTCTTATAAACATAAATATAACAGCACCGGAGGACTGACAGATTGTGTGTTTTTGTAAAACAGATTTTAACACGGGTCTACATAAAGGATTACAACAACAAAATAAAAGAGAGAGGTAGGTAGCTGGAAGGACATTGAAATGGGGGAGAAAGAGAGAGAGAGAGAGAGAGAGAGAGAGAGAGAGAGAGAGAGAGAGAGAGAGAGAGAGAGAGAGAGAGAGAGAGAGAGAGAGAGAGAGAGAGAGAGAGAGAGAGAGAGTACCTAACAGACAGAACACAAAGTCAAAGTAGGAAACTAAACACTTGGGGTAAATAACGAGGAATTTTTAAAGGATTGGTCCTGGTATCCATATTAATCCTTATTTATGACAATGACAATTTAACTAAAAGTGTCATGCCAGAAGGACTCCAAGAATGCCTTGACAGGATTCATACCTGATCCGACAAATGTGTTCCTGAATTCAACACCAGCAAGTTTAAGTTGATGAAAATGGTAGAAATGTGACATGAAACCCACTGAACAATCAGCGCACTGGTTGTGCACTGATTGTTCTACTTGTTCAATCTCCCTAAAACAACTAGAACAAAGCCTAAAAGTATATATATAACAGCAAATCTGGCGCGAGCAGCATACTCTGAACTGTGAACATCGGAACGGCATTCAGGAAACACAGCAAGGAGGCATTCCGAACATAGTACACACCTACATGAGACCAGTTCTTGAGTATGTAGCTCCCCTCGTTCATCCTCCACCTGAAAAAGTTACAATGAGGCTCAATCCTCAAGTACATGGGATTCACACAGAGAGGATTAAGAACGGAACCTATAGCGATGCCAGAGGAGGAGAGAGAGATGAGAGACAAAGTACTTAGGAAACTTAACAGGGGGAGACTGGAGACATGTTCACAATGGAGACCAATCGAACAGGAGAATATGAGAACATGAGGAGCAAGCTTGAGATCTAGAGAAGTGGGAGAAAGTAATTGATCATTGCAAGACTAATTTAACGAATAGAACGAACTAAACAAGTCGGTTAACAATCAGCAGCTGAATAGGAGAGCACAAACAGGTTAGAACACACACGCACACACACACACAAACACACACACACAATATGGCCCATTCCAGCATCTTCCATAAATCATTTAGCTTATCCCAGTGGCCATTTTTGCTAAGGGCAGAGGATATTGAGCCCATCAATACCCCATCTCTCCCTCCTCCTTAATGGGGGGAGAAGATAGGGAAGGAACACAAAGGGAAGAAGCAATATGGTAAACAATAATTGGCTAGTAGAGGTAAGGGATAGCGGAGTGAGGGATAGAGAAGTATGCAGAAGAGATAAGAAAGTGAAAAAGAGAACTAGGAGTGGGTACCTTACACAAGCAGTTAGACAATAGGACCTCGATCGTTTATATAGTGAGTTAAGTCTAATTTGAGTGTGGTTTACTGATCTTGAAGTGATGAGAGATTCTATAGGGATCACAGGCGGGTGGGCAGGCCGCGTGATGCCATCCTCCTCCGCTGAGCAAAGTAGGACCCTCCTGTACTTGCCTAATTATTGCTTCCAGTAGATTATTTATAAACATTTTCTTAACGAAAAGAGGATTCCTTTATATTTTCCATAAAAAATGTATTATTAGAGTAGATTATTAGAGAAAATATTGAGAGATATTTCAGAATTTGTAAACATCTGGTATTCTGGGGCAGGCGTCACGGTCTGACAGGAAACTGGATTAAAATGGCGGACTCTGGAATTCAGGTTGGAAAGTGTCTTCATTTTAACGGGATTTACGAAGCCCGGAGTTCAGCTGAGCCTGTAATGTTGCTCCATAATGTGTGCGTAATAATGTAGAGCAATTTTGGGGTAATAGAGAAGTTTTTACTATTGAGAGTCCAGTTTTTGTGTCATTTATTAATGGTGGTGGTGGCGGTGGTGGTAGTGGTGGTGGTAGTGGTGGTGATGGTGGTGATGGTGGTGGTGATGGTGGTGGTGGTGGTGGTGGTGGTAGTGGTGGTGATGGTGGTGGTGATGGCGGTGGTGGTGGTGATGGTGATGGCGGTGGTGGTGGTGATGGTGGTGGTGATGGTGGGGGTGGTGGTGATGGTGGTGGTGGTGGTGATGGTGATGGTAGTGGTGGTGGTGGTGGTGGTTGTGATGGTGGTGGTGATGGTGGTGGTGGTGGTGGTTGTGATGGTGGTGGTGATGGTGGTGGTGGTGGGGGTGGTAGTGGTGGTGGTGGTAGTGGTGGTAGTGGTGGTGGTAGTGGTGGTGATGGTGGTGGTGATGGCGGTGGTGGTGGTGATGGTGGTGGTGATGGTGGGGGTGGTGGTGGGGGTGGTAGTAGTGGTGGTGGTGATGGCGGTGGTGGTGGTGATGGCGGTGGTGGTGGTGATGGTGGTGGTGGTGGTGGTGATGGTGGTGGTAGTGGTGGTGGTGGTGGTGGTGGTGGTGATGGTGGTGGTAGTGGTGGTGGTGGTGATGGTGATGGTGGTGGTGATGGTGATGGTGGTGGTAGTGGTGATGGCGGTGGTGGTGGTGATGGTGGTGGTGATGGTGGTGGTGGTGGTGGTGGTGGTGATGGTGATGGTGGTGGTGGTGGGGGTGGTGATGGTGGTGGTGATGGCGGTGGTGGTGGCGGTGGTGGTGGTGATGGCGGTGGTGGTGGTGATGGTGATGGTGGTGATGGTGGTGGTGGTGGTGATGGCGGTGGTGGTGGTGATGGTGGTGGTGGT